TCCTATTGTTTCTGCCATATTTGGTGGGTCCCATGGTGACGTTAGCTGGTTTATCTACATGGGTTTATGTCTAATTTTTCAGTGTGGAATATTATATTTCTTTTCTTTTCTTATGCAGTCTATACGTAGATGATGTGTTTGTTTGCATGGTTTTTGTTTTCTATATATTTATTTTGATTTTTTAATTATAATTTGTTTTTGGTTGTCTGTTGCAATTTTACGATTATTTCCTTGTGCATTTAGTTGGTATAGTTCCCGTGATTTATATTTGGTTACGGAGTTGGTGTTTCCTTTTTGGACCAGGATATATTTGATTCTTTTACTTGTATTGTATTTTTTGGATAATTCTATGTCATATGTGGCTACTAAGTACTATACTAGCAGAATTTCTGGGGTATGTACATTGGTATTTTCTGATTCGGTATTTAATGGTCGGTGCTTTCTGTTTATTTTGGGTCTCAATTATAGTGATTATATTTATTTTATTTCTGCTATTATGGTATGTTTTGGTTTTTGATGCATTCTATACTGTATATAATCTTCTAAGGGTTACCACGTTTCTTTGTGATTTTTTAATGTTGGTATTGTGCTGTTATCTGGTTCTGCGTATTTTCTCTTTGCAAATGGCAAAAGATATCTCAATGCAGTTTCAGGATCTTTCATTTACTGAGGATGAATGTTCAAGGGTAGTCACGTCTCTTCCTTCTGCCTAGCTTGATATGGTGGGTTGGGAGCATTGGTTAGTTGGCAAGTTCATGTCTGCTATGCCTGTTGATGGTGAACCGTTGGGTCGTGTTTTTCGTTCAATATGGAAGTCTGATAAAGTTGAAGAAATAGTTGAATTACAAGATGGGTTTTTCCATATTAAGCTGCGGTCTGCGATGGCTAAGGAGGATATCCTCCGACGAGGTCCATGGTCTTTTAACAATGTTTGGTTTTTTTACTTGATTATGATCCATTATGTTGTCCTGCATATTATGATTTTTAACAGCAGGATATATGGGTGCGGGTATATCAGGTGCCGTTGGGGTTTATGTCTAAAGAAATGGCTATTTCATTTGGTGCAAGTATGGGAAAAGTGCTGGATGTGGACACGAGAGAGTTGGGTGGTAATATGGGTGAGTTTCTTCGTATTCGAATAAGGATTAATTCGCTTAAACCAATAAGTCGTTGTGTTGCCATTGGTGTTCTAGGATTATCTAACCGAAACAGTGTCCTATTCAATATGAGACTCTACCGTTGTTCTACTTTGGTTGCATTTTTTAGGACATCAAGCCCTTTCATGTAAGGTGGTGCAGGTTTTATCTTCTTCCAAGCTCCAGTATGGAGAATGGTTAAGAGTCTCGTTTCAACAAAGTTTTGCTCATGGGCATGTAAGGCGTGGGGTTGAGTATTTAGAGGATGTGGATACTGCTCCTGCTGTGGTTATGGATTCTTCGGTCTTGAAAGTTAATCATGGTATACAAAAGCAAGTTGTTGATCACGAGGGTGGTGTTGAGAGTACTCCAAAAATGGTATGGGTTGAGCAAAAACATTATGATGCTAATGGTGTTATAAATAATTCGGTGTGTGACAGAGTGCCTATTCTGGAGAAAGACAGTTCCAATCCTTTATCCTCGATCGAGTCTGGGCAATTTGTGGAGAGTAGTGGTACCGAGATTGTGGTGGAGACCCTAGTGGAAATAACTCTTCTACCAAAACAGTGATATTAGAGGAGCCTGAACTTATCAATACTCCTGTTACAATGACACGGCTTACAAATATACCAACTTCTGAAGCTGGGATGAGCAGCAATAAAAACTCTGTGGCGGTGGTTGAAGATCAACCCCGCCGGGATCAATGATTCTATTATGTTAGAACTGTCGTGGTCTGATACTACTGCGACAGTTCACGCTCTAGGCCAATACGTTGGTCAGAAGAAAGTGGATGTGATTTTCCTTACTGAAACTAGAATAACAAAGCATAAGAGTCCATTATATACGATGTAAAATTGGTATGGATCAGTGTTTTATTGTGGATAAAAATGCGGATTGTACTGGGTGTTATGAAATAATAATATACTATTTCGGTTTTGTAATCGTCTCGCTTTCATATTGATTCGATCATTGATTCTGATAATGAAAAGTTCCATTTCTCTGGTATATATGCTAGTCATCTTCATCCTCTCAAACAAGAGGCTTGGTCTACTATTTCTCATTTACGTTTTGCGTCTGATTTACCTTGGCTTTTAGGAGGAGATTTAAATGATATTCTTTATGATTCAGAGAAACGTGGGGGGCGAAGGAAATCTAGGACTCAAATGGAGGAATTTCGATCCATGGTTGAAGTAAATGGGTTATATGATATTAAACCATCTAAAGGGTGTTTTACTTGGCATTCTGGGAGAGCGGAGGATCGATACATTCAAGAGCGTATTGATCGATTTACTGCTAATCAACATTGTTTTCAATCTTTTCCTAATGAATACAACTTGGGTTCGTTGCAAAACACGGCGGAACAATAATGATTACTTTCGTTATGACAATTGTTGGGCAAATGAAGCAGATTGTAAGGCGCAGGTTCGTACTGCTTGGGCGAGTATTACTAATAATACGGTGGACAAAATTAAAGCGGTTGGTCTAGCTCTTAATTCATGGCAACGTAAACGGCTATCCAAGACTCGTCATAGGATTAAAGAACTTCAAGATAGTCTTAATTTTTCTATGCATAGTCATAATTCAGGTATACCACCTTCTACCTTTATACGGTAGAAAATGGAGCTTCAGTGTTTGCTTGATCAAGAGGAAATCTATTGGTTGCAAAGATCACGTGTTCAATGGTTATCTAATGGGGAACGTAACACGACTTATTTTCATGCTCGGGCGAATGGTTATCGGAAAAAGAACTATATTAGTGGTTTGTTTGATGATCATGGAATTTGGAAGGATAATGAGCAAGATATCATGGGAATTACAGTTGTATACTTTCAGAATCTATTTGCTTCCTCCTTTCATATGGTTGATGACTCAATTTTGGATGTTGTTTATCCTGTGATCACCTCTAATATGAATTATGCCCTTTGTCAGGATTTTACTGTTGATGAGATTTTGTTGCTTTCAAGGAGATTCATACTAGGAAAGCCCCAGGTATAGATGGTATGCCGATAAGTTTTTTTTCATTCTCATTGGGATGTGGTTGGGACTGAGGTTATTAGTATTTGTATGCACTTGTTGAATGGTTCCTTGGATATGGGCTTGATTAATAAAATAGTGATGTCTTAATACCTAAAATAGATGATCCTCAGCTGATGAAGCATTTTCAGCGTATTAGTTTATGTAATGTGGTTTATAAAATTGTCTCCAAAGTGTTGGTTAAAAGGTTGAAAGATATTATGGTTGTTTGTATTAGTGAGAATCAAGCTACCTTTCATCCAGGGAGACAAATCTCGGATAACATCATGGTGGCCCATGAGCTTCTTTATTATATGAATTCTTCGAAGAACAGGCCGAATAAAGGGGATGCACTTAAATTGGATATGGAGAAGGCATATGATAAAGTGGAGTGGCCTTTTTTGCATGAAATCATGTTGAAGTTGGGTTTTTTCCAGAACTGGGTTGATCTTATTATGCGACATGTTGAGACTGTTTCGTTCGCTATTCGGGTGAATGGTGTTCTTACTTTTGAGTTTCGTCCTAGCCGGGGTTTGCGACAAAGAGATCCTTTATCTCATTTTTTTTCTTTCTGCACATAGGGTTTGTCAACACTTTTTAATCATTTACATGATCAATGAAAATCAGAGGTGTCAGTGCTAGTCAGAATGGTCCAAAAGTTACACATTTATTTTTTGCTGATGATAGCATTATTTTTATCAAGAATTCTATTTTGGAAGCAATTTAGGTTCGAGATGCTTTACGTATCTATGAATCTTCTTCAGGTCAGAAGGTGAATCTTGAAAAATATGTACTTTATTTTAGTCCGCTTACACCAGTTACGTGTCGCACTCAGATATCATTTATTTTGTGTATTGGAGAAGTTGTTGATTTGGGGCATTATCTTGGTATGCCCTTACATATTGGGAAGAATAAACTAATACTTTTGGTTATCTCAAAGATCGTGTTCATAAACGGATTGATGGGTGAACTAAACATTTGCATTCCTATGGTGGTCGAGAAGTGTTTCTTAAGTCTGTGGCTCAAGCGCTTCCCCAATATGTGATGTCATGCTATTTACTACCTGTATCCTTAGTGCAAGATTTAACTAGAGGTATAAGAAGGTATTGGTGGTCAAGTGATATTGCAAAGCGAGGTTGGCCTTTGATTGAGTGGAAAATAATGTGTAAACCAAAGTGTGAGGGGGTTCTTGGTTTTCGGGATTTGTATAACTTCAATATGGCTTTATTAGGAAAACAACTACGACATTTTACTAAAGAGCTAGACATTTTGGTTTCCCGTATCTTCCGTGCTAAGTATTATCCTGATGGGGACTTATTGAATGCTTCATTGAAGGATCAGAGTTTTTTTGCTTAGAAAGGCCTTTATCGGACATTACAGGTGTTACATGGGGGTTTATTTTGGCAAATTGGATTTGATAGTACTTGTCGTATATTTGATGATGTCTGGGGTGGATCCAAAGTTGTTTCACTTCAAGGGAGTTATTATGTTTCCTCTGATATTCCTATTTATTGTCGTGATTTGATGTTTTCAGGAACTAACTCTTGGAATGAACTTTTGATTTGCAAGTTGTTCACTTTTGAGGACGCTTTACAAATTCTAAATGTTGTTATTACACCATGTTCTAAGGATGTAATTGTTTGGGGCAATCATGATTCAGGCATCTATTTTGTTAGGTCTGGCTATTGGTGGCTTCAGCGTTGTTCACATGATAATGACGGAAATCAAAGCTATGGAGGATTATAGCTAAATTGAAAATACTTCCAAAAATATGTATTTTTTGTTTGGCGTGTAACTCGTAATACTTTACCTGTTGGTAACCGTCTTAAGAAGGTTGATTTTTCTGATGGTATGTGTCCATTGTGTTCTTATGAAGATGAGTCTGTGTTACATGCTTTAAGGAGTTGCCCTTGCACTCTTGATGTTCTTCGACATGCTGGCATACCTGTTTCTATCTCATTGAGTGATATTGATCCTCTTGTTTTATGGTTAGAAGAGGCTCTATCTATTTTGGGACTTGATGATTTTGTTGGGTTCTTAGTCTACTTGTGGAATGTGTGGAACAATCGTAATTCCTTTGTGCATGATGCCAAATTTCAACAGTCTTGGATTCTGGTGTCGACAGCTAAAACACTTCATCATGAGTACTTGCAAGCAATGGCTTTAGATCGGATGCATGAGAATCCTTTCATTCAACACAATAGATGGTTACCTCCTCCACCAGGTGTGATTAAGATAAATTTTGATGGTTCATTTGATAACAATGGGCGTCTGGCTTCTATTGTGGTGGTAGCTCGTGATCATAATGGTTTGGTGCAAGGGGGTTTGGCACAAGTCTCTGGAAGATGTGCTGATCCTACTTTTGTTGAATTCTTTGCTTTGCTTGCTAGTTTACGCCTAGTTAATGAGAAAGGGTGGTTGGATTTGCAGTTTGAATCTGATTCTCAAATATTTGTGAACAAAATTACACGGGACTCGTATGACATCTCGACATTGGGTATTTTATTCAAGAAGCTCGTGTTGTTTTTCAATCTAATCCTAGATTCCATATTACATATATCAATCATGACTGTAATCATGTTGCTCATGCTCTCGCTAGATGGGCCACTTGTTCTGGTAGTGCATTTTTCTTTGATTCGATTTGTCCCGATATCATTGCTAGTGTCATTAGCAAAGATGTAATTACTTCTTGATTAATGGAATTTTGTGCACTCTTTTCCCTTTATTAGGATTAGAATTAGATTTTAATGAGGCCTGTATTATTTTCAAAAAATAAATAAATAAGTGTTAATATGAACTTGAACCAAATTACAATCCATACTAAACATATAGGAACAAAGTTAGGATATCAACTCGAACAAAGTATTTTTAAATTATAATTATTTATTTTCTAATATTTTATATTTAAATTATCTTTATATGAAATAATAACACTTATTTAATAGGACCAATTTACACTAAAAAAAGGGACTAATTCAGCGTAGATCTAACAAAGGAGCACGAATCTCAGTGGTAAAGCAATTATTATTATCCCTTGAGGTCTCAGATCTGAGCATCAAGAACACCAGGAATACGAGTGTTCAATGTCATATAATTGAGAATTTGTGGATTTTAGGCCTTATATTCGAGCATAAATAGGTTTATTTAGTGTTTTCGACTCGGCAGGCTTCTTCGGGCAGCGTGATGGGCTTCAGGTGGCTTCGGATCCAGGTTCAATGGATTGACCCAAACAAAATTGGTGCTGACTATAAGTATATTTAAACTGAATAAATCATCAACATTTTAATTTTAATTCTGTTTTATTTATTCTATTAGATAAATGAATATTTCAAGTTTTTTTTATATTCATTTCTTACATTAGCTAAATAACAACACATTCGGTTCATTTATATATTAATAAACAGTTTATTTTTCAAATATTATATTTATAAGTGTAAAACACACAAATGGTTCTGCGATTATATAATGTTTCTTTGTTGAGTCTACGACTATCAATAGTTACAAAATTATTCCCCTACTATATGACACTATTTTATTGAGTCTATTGACTATTAAAAGTTACAAAATAGTCACCTGATTATTCATATTCAAAACTCATCATTTTCAGTTTAAAATTTGATGGACTTCATCAGGGTTTGCCCTAGTTTTCTCTCTTTTCATTGTCCACCACTAGTGATTCTTTTTCTTCATCTTTGTGATCGATGGCGTCATCAACCTTGGTGATGGTCATCGACTATCAGTATTCATTGTTTCCCTTTTATTTTATTATAGTGTATCTTTGCTTTTTCTTGTTTTTAAATTTTAAATAACTCTGCCTTTAATGACACATTTTCTGTTGTTTGGCTAATGTTTTCATTTATCCTTGTTCTAAAGGTTGGATTTGATATCACCACGATTGATCAAGATGCCATTTATTTGTTATCATGTTGATCTTCCATGCTTTGGACCCTTGATTGGATTTGGACATGTGATTTACGTTCGTAGATAGTTTTTCACGTCGCTCTATTCTGATTTACAAATTCTTGGTGGTCTTTCAATAGCTTGATTCCCTTTTGTAGTTCATTTGTCGATGCGGTCAGATTTGTTTGTATCTACCTTTTGTTCAAGTTTATTTGGTTAGATTTTTTAACATTTTCCTTGTATGGTCATTGTGTGTTCTTAAGTGACTAGTTTTCTTGTGTTAATGATTATAGGAAAATATGCTTATTATGTATTTAGTTTACGATAGTGGTTGTAAACATTCATTGTAATTTGAATATTTCTACCTTCTATTAAAAAAATTTGACGGCCTTCTGAGTTGGATGTTAACTTGTTGATTGAGATATAATAAAATTATTTTTCAATGGTGTTTAGTGACACTGTCATTGTTTTTAAGAACTTACTCGACAACATAATGTTTTAAGCATTGACTCGACAACATAATGTAAACGGATAGTCGATCAATAAAATACAACTTAAACGGTCCTGAGATCATATTATATCATATCTCAGTCAATATGTTATTGTCCAGCTCATATGTCAGCCAATTTTTTAATGAAAAATGACAAGTTTGAAACATATGGATAGCCATACGATCATTTTGTAACTTTACTAGTTAGAAGACTCAACAAAGCTACACCATGTAATCGAGAGACCATTTTATAACTTTTAATAGTCGAGAGACTCAATAAAACAACACACTATAGTCAAAAGACAATTTGTGTACTTTACCCTATTTATAATACATATTATTGGGTCTTTAAATTATTTTTGAATATTATATTTATACTTATTATTAGTTATTAAGTATATGACACAGTCGGTATCAAAGATTAAACAAATGTTAGCTAAATACTAATTAATGTCTATACCAATATTAAAATTTTAATTAAGTGTCAAAAGTTAATTCGATTTTTAACTAAGGTTAGTCTCAAAAGTTAATTTGATACAAATTCAGTTATAAACTATTAACTAATCTCTAATTTGGATTGTAATTAAAATTGTTATAATAAAATTTTTGTATTCTATAAACGTCCCCGCTTTTATATTACCCGATCTGGATTAGTCGATCAATAAATCGGATACCAATGATTAATTAAAAAAACTATATAAAAAACACATACTTAATAAGATTTGTGTATGAATTCTCTGCCACTTAACTAAAATTCATTGTTGATAAAACTTAAAAACTATTTTTATATAATTATTTATCATCCCTTGATGAGTGTGACAAAATCTAATTACTATAATGACATTTTTACATAATCTTTAAATATAACAATTAAAAATCATTAATGTAAAATATTGAATCCGTATTCAATAACATTTATATTGGGCTATCATCTAACTAATCTTGCTTAAAGAATTTAAATCCTCATCCTACTAGATCAACTGATTGTTAGTCGATTGTTTTGTATTTTAAATGTTCATAAACAAGATTTTAATTGTTCATTAACATTTTTAATTATTTAATACTTTTGTTTAATGTTTATAAATATTTTTTTAATTCAAATAAGAAAACACGAACCAATTACGAATAAACTTAAAAGAAAATATGAAAAAACATTATCCATACGTTCATGCTCGGATCATTTATGACCCTAATTAAAATGGAAGCACAACAATAGTTTTCCTTCACCTAATTACATAGATTACATTAACAACTGAGCTCATCGTAGAGGTCAACCTCTCGACCATTCAATGGCTGACATGGCCTAGCGTTTCTTTTGCAATCTGAGTTCAACGGAGTATCCATGGCGGCTATCTGCTCTTTCGAAATGGACATCACCTGCAAGTTTTTAATTTAAATTTAGCCATTTTTTGTGTAATACATAATACTTTATTCTGTCATCAACGCTGCCGGAAAAAACCATACCTTTCCGAGGATGCTCCAGTTGACATCCTCGATGCATGGGGAGTGGTAAGAGAACCAACATATCTGTAATACTTGCGGCTTCTTCGATTCAGTTCGTTTATATTCACGTAACCAAGAGGAACTTCTGAGTTTTCCTTTCCCAATTTACTTAATCCTCCCATCAGCTGAAATGGATCGAGTTGAATTTTTTATGCTTAAACTTTGGTTTCCATATGTTTTGCATAGGAACATTATTAAGAACTATCTTACCCTGCAGATAAATGGATCGGCAGCATTGGCTTCTTGGTAGAGCACTGCAACAACAGCAGTGCTGTTATCTGGTGCTCGATGGACCATATGGAGCTCAGCAGCAAATCTGTATGTTTAAAGGGTTAAAAACACTTGCTTAGGCCCTTCTTTTTTGTGATGGAAAGGGGCAATTGGTGTCCAAAAAGTAGCATGAATTGAGGGTTATAATCAAATTGGACCGACCCAATGACACAATATTTACAGAGAGAAAGAGAAAAGCTTACTGTTGACTATCAATGCGATGCTCTGAAGGTAAATGCCAGTGTACTTGCTTGAGTGTGTAGCTTTTGGCATCAATCCATAACTCTCCAGCATCTTCCTCGAAACGCACCCCAACACTGAAGCCCTTGTTAACGAGAGTAGCGTTTGCAGGTTTGTACTTCCTGGCTAATGGTTTCAATTGCTTGTTGTGGACAGTCATATTCCTCTGAATGTTTATCGGAGACTGTCGTTTCCCTGATGAACATGGTGAGAATGTCGGATCCAATTTGCCCAGTTGTATGGTCCATCGATGCCTGAATAACTGAACTCCATTTCTCTAAAACTAACCCAAAGAAAGAAAAATCATCAACTCAGCATGTTTCATTTTCCAGATGATATATATATTGCAGCAAAACATGATCATAGTCATACCATCAATGGCAGAAGCAATGCCAACGAGCAAACTGAGCAAGAAGACGACCGAGTAGACACGAAGGGCCATTAATAACCTGATCCGAATCTCGAATGCACCTTGAAAAAAGAGAAGACGAACTTATATAATTATCATATATTGAGAGTTTTAGTTTTAGAGCACCTACACTGGTATGTCGTTGTCTATTTATAAATGCACGTAGTAGTAATACGGGGATAACATCAGGGATGCTCGTTAATCGGTGCTAACCGAATTAGCTGATTAAATTGATATTTAGTTAGGTTGATTAGATGTTAGATCGATTAACGGTTAAGAAAATTTTAAATTCAATTAAAAAAATTGATTAATTTGATTTTAGTTAATTCAATTCAGTCGACGATCGAATTAATCGTTTGAATACCAGGTGACAACAAGTTGGGTTAAACTAAGTAAAAAACGAAGTCAAAGCTTTACTGCAGTTTGGTTGAATCTTGTCGTCATGGGTCTTATTAGCAGAGCTAAGCCTGCAAACATTGGCGAGTAGTGGTAGAATGTTTTAATTATATATATATAAATAAATATATATATATATATTAAATGGAGATAGAGAAAGAGAAGTTTGATTAATTCTAAGAGCCATTTTCACATGGAATATGTTCACGGGACTCTCTGCAGAATTAGATTAAGTTATCAATTTAAACTAGTTGATCCTAGACAGCTACCAATTGCTTAGGTATAAAGGCAAGATTTTTCGTTAGGAGACGAACTTATAAATTATAAAAGGAGATAAATTTATAAAATTTTAAGGGGTAAAAGTAATTCTTAATAAAAAATATAAATAAAATATTTAAACTATACAAATATTTTAAATTTTTAAAAAATCGACCGCCCCGTCTACCCCTCAACCCATTCCTGACCTTGTTTGCTTTGTTTATAAG